TTTTTTTATTCATACATCTTGTTATTGAGATGATCAATTAAAGGGTTTTTCAACATTAAAACAATATTTTCCGATATATTTTTGAGGTGCATCTGTAATTCTACATTTTAAGGTTGTAACCTTATATAAACTTTATCCATTTCTTTTTACAGATAATCACAATATTTTTTTATTTATTAAGTGCTTTTATTTGATACTCGACCCTTGCTCGAGCCGAGTTACTCGGGCGAGCTCGTGTAACTTGCTTGAGTACAATTCAAGTTAAAAAAATAAAAAATCAATACAAAACATATTTTATATGTATTATAGCCTTCGCTTTATGACCTTGAGTGTTAAATGACCTTATGGTCAGGTCCGCTGCCCTCCTCAATTTTTAACACCAATTTTTCTTTAAAAAAATAAAAAGAAAATGAAAAGGTTAACAAAAGAAAATAAAAAATAAACACAAAACATATTTTATATGTATTATTGCCTTCGCTTTTATGACATTGAGTGTTAAATGATCTGATGGCCACGTCCGCTGCCCTCCCCGACTTTTAATACCCATTTTTCTTTAAAAAAATAAAAAGGTTAACAAAAGAACGCAGATGACTAAGGAATGATTCAAACCCTCACCGTCATAGGGTATAAGAATACACACAAACCAATATTTATTTGAATGTTCATGTAAAAAATTGGCACATTATTACATATAACATATTAATAATGTGTGTGCACTGTGCAGTGTACTTGGAGCAAACTCGCCTAGTCCATAGGGCGAGGCTGAGTTATCAGCCGAGTCCGAGTAGTCCTGACCGAGTCTCGAAACAACGTGCTTTAATCTAATACATTCACCATGATAAATTAGTTAGCATTTGACAATTTACAAAGCTACATCCTAGGCTCAATGCCTACCGAGAGTAAGGTCCTCTTCGTGATGACTCCCCCCAAATTAAAAGAAAAAGAAAAAAAGAAAAAAAGAAAAAAAAACAACTAAAGAAAGACTTCCCTCCATATAGGGGCCCTCAAATATGTGGCTAATTCACAAAACCGAAAGAAGTGGCTTCAAATGGACTTCCCTCCCTAAAAATGGTGATGTTTGTTTGGGGGCAGTTTTGAAAACTGCCACGCGAGGAGGAATGAATGAGTTTGAGTTAAGAGTAGGCGGGGTCATGGGGCTGCTTATTGCTTAATTCCACCCCAAAACATTTATAAAAGGCCCCTCTCTGCACCCTCTTCATCTCCCCTCCTTTTCTCATTCTTTCTTTTCATCGCTTTCTCACTTTGTTTTCTTTCTATATCTCTGTTCCCTATCTCCATTTCATTTCAGGGTCCAGGTTTTGTTTTGGAAATTTAGGAATGTGGAAGACTTGATGTTTTCATGCTTTCCACAGGCTTTCTTGAAGATGGTACTCAGACGGCCCCTCTTCGAGTTAGTTCTCAAAGTTGCGATGTTGAGCAACAGGTTCAAGAAATCTGTGGAAAAACATGGAAACAATCATAATGTTTGCCTTCACGTGTTCAAAAGCACATATAATTTTATTGGGTTTTGGCATTCAATTATTCATAACTCAAAGGTAATTGTCAATGGTGTGATTGCATAAGGGCCCCGTTTGGATCTATAAATGGAAAAGGCACTCCATGTGCCTTTGCATGCCCTCCATTCAGCCCAAATCTAAGGCAGTTCTATAATTGCAGCTAAATTTTGGGACTTCCAAATGAATCCTTATATAAAATGCAAATATGTGTGTGTTAGAGAGAGGACCCATTGTGATAATTCAATTATTGTTTGAATGTGAGGTTATGGTAATCTCTACTATCTATCTTATTTGAATAGTAATAGATTTACACATTGATCTAGTAAAATAATATAAATTTTACCCTTTTATGTTTATTTTTTTTATATAATTGAATTTGTACCTAGAAATTAGACTTAACAAGGGGCGAGTTTAAATAACGCAGTCGAGTACCAGTAGACTCAAATCAAGTTTTCAAACCATGATGTAGGCCAAAAATCCCAACTTTCATCAAGGGAAATAAGACTTCCTAATAGCATTTTAATGTCCTTTAATTTAGGTATGCACTTCATTTTATAATGGTGCTGTACTTAATATTTAATCTAAAATTAAAGGGTGAAATTATTGTTGTGCTTAATGTTCGTTAATTGGATACTATGTTTAATCTCCACAATCCTTCTTGAAAATGTCAGGTAGATGTCCATTGTGCATCGCATAGCATATACTATGCAAATTCTATTTTCCGCTCTCTTTTTGGGAGTTCTTTCAAGATAATATGCTTAGGGTGCAGTTGGCATACGGATGCATCCGTAGCTGTAGAGGTAAGGTGCACTTTCAAATTTTATCATGGTATATAATTTTGATGTAAAATGTTATTAGGATTATCTCAAAATCTATTTTTATATTTAATTATACAGTTTTAAATTTAAAAAGCGGTTAAAATCAAGTAGATTTATAAACATATGAAAATCTAAAAAATGGACGGTGTAGATAATATGTTGTAAAATGCACTATTTCTGAGACTTAAAATCTTTTTTTTTTTGGTCATTCATGTCGATGTCGAGATGATCAATCAAACGGTTTTCAACATTAAAACTATGTTTTCTGATGGATTTTTGAGGTGCGTATATAGTTCTACATTATAAGGTTGCATCCTTATGTAAACTTTTTCCTTTTTGAAATATAATTTCTTGAAACTGACCAATGCAATTTTTTGGAATATCGTGTTAACAAATACCCCTGTTCTCTAGGTCTAGATATGCATCGTCATCTCTATCTTTTAAGGAAATTTGAATCTTCTACCATGGGTAACCAGTGGCCCGCATAAATTGGTATAGAAAGACTTGCCCTTTCCTCATCTCTCATCGACATTATCTACCTCATCCAAATACATATATCCTTATTTAACCGACTTTTCATCTCTTTCTCCACATATATTTAATTTTGAATTTTTTTTTTCTAAAAGGTTTTCTATCTAGTATACATTCCTTATCATATAAGCCTCGACTGTGCAGTTTCTCATTGTTACATCCAGTCTTGAATCGATCTTTTTTTTCCATCTTAAGGTGGATTTGGGCTGTACCCGAATCGAGCTCTCTTTGGTACTACCACCAAGGCTTCAACCCATTCTCCTAAGTATTATGTGAGGATTTTGACTTAACTCTTTGGTGACAATGGAAACACCTTATCCAATGGAGATAATGGAGTCAAAGACCTCATCATGGGGCTTGGCAATACTACTAAGGCCCCAAAGTGAAGAAGAAGAAAAATTGCAGTCTTATTACTCCGAGGTACAATTTCTGTCTCTCTATATATCAATGGAAAAAATAAAATAACAGAAGTAAAAGTCAAACAAAACAAAAAGCAGCATAAAAAGTTCAGCTGATAAAATATAGATTTAGAAAAATTTGATTGACAATTAGAAGTATTTTAGAAAAAACCCTAGAAAAATAAAATGATTAAAATAGGGAAAACGATAAGAAAAGCTCACAAATCATTGTATAAAAAAAAAAAAAAATTTTCCATGATTTTATTTTTGAAGTTTTTAAATACCTCGAGTTTTGCATAATACACTTCAAGAGAGGTTGATGGTGTTTTTGTTTTTGATTTCTCTTATTAAAATAATCATTGAATTTCTACTTTCTTAATATGTGAAATCTTGTTTATACATCAATTTTTTACTCTATAGATAGTTATCATGAATGATCTTGATTTTCGATACTGCTTAAAACCATGAGATGGGCTGAACCTTTTTTTAATGTCCCAATTCCGAGTCACACAGTCCGACTCGGGGTATTTCCCAGGTTTTTCCTTCGGAATAGCTAAGGTACAGACCAAGCCAGTAGGTGCAAATATACCTTGGCTTGAGTTCGAGGAAAATAATTAATATTAAGGATTGTATATTATGAGACTATTTATTTTTGTTACAAAGAGGTTACAATTATTTTTAATATTAGTTATAAAATGGGATGTGATGTTGATTACTTGGGCCGAGTCCGAGTGCACTAGTAAAGAAATAGATTTTTAAAAAAATCAACTTGTGACGGGGGTATTCTTGAAATAATCTAAAAAAATATGAGAAAAATATAAAAATAAATATTTATAGTCAAACCATTTTTCAATCTTATCCAAAATAATAGAAAACATATCTTAAATGAATTCCTTATTTTTTAGGTTTATTTATGATTTTTTATCGAATTTGTTTTAATATCTCCCTGAGTTGTGGGCTCAGCAAGTGCTTGAGCCCGAGTAACTCGGCCAAGTGGTTTCTACTCGGGTGATTTTTCAATAGCTGCTTATAACTACCACTTTTAAAATTAGCCCTAATTTAAAAATTGACGGATACAGATTTAAAACTTGACTTAATTTGAAATCTCACGATAGAATTTCACGGATAAAAAAGTGTTAAAAAAATCAACGATTTTTGCCTGAGTCTAGCTCTTCTTTTTTTTTAAAAGAAAATAGAGAAAAAATGTTGTTATATATATATATATATAAAATTACATACATACATATCCGTTATAGTTTCTATCGAATAGTTTATGTTATTACCACCATATCCATTTTTTTTATGTCAAAATCACGGTATCCATTTTTTCATGTCAAAACGGAATTTTTTAAAAAAGATAACTTCACCTTTTTTCAACAACCGAATTCAAAATATTAAAAAACACCAATTTTGGTTCTTGAAAATTTAAAATATTAAAAAACACCAATTTTGGTTCTTGAAAATTTAAAATCAATTTGAGACCCTAAATTTAGGAAAAATCTCTAGGATTATGAACTTATCAAAACAACCCTTAAAAAAATCTAAGGGATTATGAACTTATCAAAAAGTAAAAAACCTTAGCAGGACACCCTCGCAGGGGAAGAGAGAGAGTTAAAAAAAAAAAAACCAATTTTACCCATCTAATGTAGAGATAGAGGTAGAGAGAGAGGGAGAGAGTTAAAAAAAACTATTTTTACCCATATAATGTAGAGAGAGAGGTAGAAAGAGAGGTAGAGAGAGGGGGAGAGAGTTAAAAAAAAACCTGAAATAGAGAGAGAGAGGTAGAGAGAGGAAGGTGGAGAGAGGATTTTGGTTATTCAAAAATTGAAATTGGCACTGTTGAAATACTTTGAAAAAAGTCATATTTTTTTAAAATTTCTATTTTGACATGAAAAAAAATGGACACGGTGATAATAACCGAAACTATTTGGTACAAAGCCATAATAAGGAGCCATAATAACAAAAACTATAAAGGTAGAGAGAAGAAGGAGGAGAGAGGAACCATTTTTACCTGTTGAAATAGAGAGAGAGAGGTAGAGAGTGGAAGGGGATTTTGGTTATTCAAAAATCGAAATTGGCACCGTTGAAATACTTTGAAAAAAGTCATATTTTTTTAAAATTTCTATTTTGACAAGAAAAAAAATGAACACGGTGATAATAACCGAAACTATTTGATAAAAAACCATAATAAGGAGCCATAATAACAAAAACTATAACGTGTATATATATATATATAATTTTCCATATCATGAGTGCCATATCCATGTTGAAGCTTGCGAGCGGGCGTGTTGAATAGTATCATGTTCTAGTATACCGTCCATAAAGGAACCTCTTTCGAAGAGGTCTCGACATCCATTCTCGGGGCCGACATTTTATTTTGAACTAAAAAAAAGACTTTGGAACTATTAAAAAATGATGGCTTTAAAAAGTGACAGGCGTAGGCATTCGAACCCTCAACCAGGTTTAAAAAATGATGTACAACCTTTGGCCCGGCCGAGTTTTGGAACCATAGATATGATATCTTGGTACAGTTGTCTTTAATATTATATTTTTAATGTGTTGTTTACAATCCCAAATTTCAATGCTCCTTACAATTTTGAAATATAGCGCGACTATGAAACCAGCATATCATGATGAGATACAATCACAAATATGGAAATTCTGCAAAACCTTATATTGAAATTTGTGATTTCTTGATTTAACAGATCCTAAGGAATTTAATCATGCCATGTTGGGGAAATAAAGAAATGGCATGTTCAAGATACATGGTTAGTATTAGGTCTGACCCAATATTCAGGCTCTTCCCACGTCATTCTCTCACGAATGATCTTGTATTGATGCACATAGTCTTTAAAGTGAAGACATATGTGGGTCGAGGAGGTATCGGTTCTGAAACTCGAGACGGTAAGAGATCGAACCGAGTGTGGCCATGGAAGATCGCCATCCCTTTGGATGTTCTAGTTCTAAGAGACTCTGCTAAAGGATTCATCTATTTCTTAATTGACAAGTTCATAGGCATGGACATTCCCCAGAAGATTATAGCCTCCGTAGTATGTCAAGTCATGGTTCAACTGAGGGTGACCTCGAAGGACTTCGCCTGTTCGCACCTTGAACCAGCCATTGATGTAGCATTGGAGGTATTTCTGTATGTAGAGATTGAATAATCTGAGGATCCAGAGGAGAAAGATTGAGAGGGAGATTGAAGAATCTGAGGATCCAGAGGAGAAAGATAATGTGTGTGTGCGTGTCTGAGGTTGGTGTTATGATGATGATGCATGGGAGGTGCCATGTAACCATATTTATCACATTGATTGTATTTTACATTTTGAAGTGGCCAGAGTCCCATGATTTATGTCCAGTGTGCCGATCTTTATGATAAATGATTGCATTTTGAAGTGGCTAGAGTCCCAAGATTTATGTCCACTGTGCCGATCTTTATTTATTAAATAACAAGTCAAGGTAAGAGCAAATACTTGTATATACTGATGAAACTTTCTGAATTTGTTTTTGAGCAAATACTGTCCTATAATTATAGGAATTGTCCCTTAGGACTTGTTTTTAACGGTTAGAAAATCCGAGTCAAGCGCCCGATTTTGTACAGGAAACAAACTTGAATAATTAATTTTTTATTCTTTTCCATTATTTCTATGTTTTTTTCCTACCTGTGGTATTCTTCCTTTGCTTTTCGATAATATGTCAGAGGCAATTTTATGCGTTATTTCTCATACTCATAGGATGTTCACGCTACTTTACTTGTTTACGAGTCGATGAAGTACACAATCAGTGGATTCCATATATGGAAATCATGTTTGCCACAACTGTGGACACAACTTTCGTTTTTAGAACTCAAAAGTTCAAAAGAAACCAGTTGCAACCCAATCTCTTGAAAAATTGTGACTGATAAAACTGGTAATAATAGAATTGTGTTAGTCTATTAACCGTGATACATGTTAACAAAATTGTGTTGAGAAGAAGCAGATTCTTCTATGAATAGTGACATTGAAGTAACCAATTTCCAAGGCTCTTTAGACTTCGTATAAAAGACTCGAATATCTTGTTCAATTACACTATATTTGTAATTGTCTTTCTCACTTTCTCTCTCAAATGTATGCTTGTAAATATAAAAGTTAATTCTCTAATACTCTTTGGTTGTTGCTGTTCGAGTGCATTTAAAAACAAGTGAAATAAATTAGATCTCCTATTCTTTTGTGTACCAGGGATAAATCTGCCGTAAAGCTTGGTTGGTCACCGAGATCAATCTAATAAAGGGGCAAATATTATTTTGGGATAGTATCATTCATTGATTAGGGGGCAAATGTTATTTTGGGAGTGTAATAATCCTTCACTTCTTCATTTTTTTCTCGGCAATTCAGCTCTAGTTCACTCACCTTTCAATGGAGCAAATATGATTATATTTTGGAACAAATGGGCACATATATGATTATATTTTGGAATTATTTGGTTTATAGATCTGGGAATGAATATTGACTTTATATGCTCTAATCTAAGAGCAAAGCTGGCAATGGCCGGTCAGTCTAGCCCGGCCCTAACAAATTATGACTTAGGACAAAATATGGCCTGAGAGGGCCAAGCCAGGCCCGGCCCTCCAAGATCATGGGTTTTGGCTGGGCCTAGGCCATGGCCGACCAAATTCAGCCTGGCCCAGACCTTTCTTTGTTTCTTCTATTTTTTCGGGCCGGTTGGGCTCCAGCTGCCCCCTTGGGGACCATGGCCGGGCTGGAGCCAGGACTAGCTGTCCCCGGGTCTGGCTCATTGCAAGCCCCTATCTAATAGTTATCAAATTAATCGAGAGAACGATAAAACCGTAAACATTTATCATGAGTGGAGCATAATATCTCTCTTATCTCACCAAAGCATATGGTTTACAAACTGAGAGCTACGCTCCTCTCATCTCCTCAAACCATATGGGTTGCAAACTGGGAGCTATGTTAGCCAGAACTCAGGATATTCACATGTTACCAAAAGCATGCGAGCCTAGTGTAATATGACAAACAAGTATGGTGCAATCTAGTGTTTAAAACATCGGACTAGAGGGTTAGACCGGTTACCCACCAGTTCCAAGTTTAAATTGGCTAACTCTGTGAACCAGATCAAGAGTTCATGGTGTTATAAAAAGCATTGAAAGTTGATGGAGGAAAAATGGATAATTAAAGTAAAACACTTACAATCAAAATCAAACATTTGATGTCATATCTATGAGCTATAGATCAAAATAAAAAATTAAAATTAAAATAAAACGATAAATTCAAAGTCAAAATGGAAAAGAAAACTCAATTGTTCATCTTTGAATTCCATGTCATAGGAGCTATGGATCCCAAAAATGATTTATATCTTATAGAGTGTTTGAAAATATCAAAATCATGATATCTAGAGAGAAAACGATAAAAATGATAGATAAAAATATTTGGAAATGGTAAAAAAAAGAAAAGAAGAAGAAGCAAAAGGCAATCATGTAGTTTGATGTTTAAGAACATTCTGGGGCAAATTTGAACAAATTTGGTGAAACATTGAGGAAGAAATTGATGGTTTTTTTTTTTAATTTTAAAAGTCTTAGGGAACTTGTACCTTTGATTTCTTCTATTTTGCTCTCTACATGGAAAAAAGTAATCGCATATATAGCAAAGGGCTCAAACCTAATATTTTGACACTAATTTCACAATTTTTGATGAAAAAAAAAGAGAGAACCATTGAAAATGATAAATTTTTGCCTCTCTTTCTCCCTTTCTTTTTTTTTTTTTTTTAATCACCCAATTCATGAGGAACTTGGGCGGGTTGGAACTGAATGAGATTTTTTAACAATTGATGCAACAAAAGAACAAACGTTATAAGTACCGTGCTTTCTATAGTAGTACAAGATTCAAAACCTACCATTTGCAAAAAGATTCAAAACCCACAATATGCAATTATTTTTCCTTTTTCGGTTTTTTTAATGAAAAATAACCTCCCCCCATTTGCAATTATCTTCCGTCTCGTTTGAACTTTAAGACTAATAGCAAGTAGAGAGGGTGCTTGTACTACTAAAGTAGTATCTATATTTGTTACTGATATCCCGTTAAAATTCGGTTAAACCTCATGACCAAACAGGCTCTAAAGAGACTTCTATCATATTATAGCCACTTCTCATATATCATAACGGAAAATAATTAGTTTCTTTGGGCACTTGGCAAAATTGGCCCACCTATGGGAGTGATTCTGTTAGGTAACCCGGGTCAACTGTGAGAACTGGGGTGATTAAGCCTAACCTGGACCTCTATAAAGAGGGGCTCCATGTGCTCTCTCCATACAACCATCCCTCTTCATTTTGTTATGAAGGTCGAAGTTTTTTACTTGAAAGTTTTGAAGATAGAAGATTTGATGTTTTCATGCTTTTCACAGGCTTTCTTGAACATGGTACACAGACAGGCCCTCTTCGTCGAGGTTGGCTCTCGAAGATGTGATGCTGAGTAACAGGTTCAAGAAATCCGTGGAGAAACATAGAAACAATCATAATGCTGCAGCGCTCGTTCGATGGTGATTTTATAAGAACGTCGGCATGGTTGATGGGGTGCATGAAATATGTCTCATTTTAGTAAATTTTGGTTGGTTGCTAAGAGAGATTCATAGAGGATAAAGATGTCAAATTCCCACATATTTACCCAACTCTTGGTATTTTCATTTCCACTTTGTACATTGGCTTTCAAAGGTAGTTGTGAAATTTATGAAGGTACATGCAGGAGTGGATCTTCATAAATTTGGGTGGGTGTTTACACAAAAGCCATTAGTGGAGAAAATATAGTAGCGAGTTTATTTCAAGAATATATAGGGAATGGCGTTTTATTTCTCGGGATATATTTGGTCATAATAAAGTTATAAGGCGTTATTGTAAATGTTTTTCCTCTCCTTCGTATTTTTATATCTAAATATTTAAGGGAAAGTATAGAATTAGATCATTTACTTTTGATACAATTGGTCACATTAATCTTGACCATTGGATGTGAAATTGGGTGGCTGCAATTATTCCACTTACTAAGCTCAAATTTCAAACGAAGTTTCTCAAACTTTGTGATGCATTCAAGCTATCAATTTCACATCAAATAGTTGTAAGGAATTGTGACCACCTTGTATTAAAAGTAAATAGCCTCATTGAATATGAAATATAATTGTTATTGATGTGATCTTGATTTTGAGAAATATACTTAATGTTCATTTTTCATATAAGATAATTATTGATGGGGTTTGTTTTGGGGCATGCTTTCTATACTTCCCCTCCCTATTCAACTATTTATTTTGAATGGACAGTTGAGCTGACCCCAATCACAATGTCACACCTCTACACAATTTTAATTTTAATTTTTTTCTACAAAATATTTTGATATTAAATTTGAACTTTCACTTCTCTCTTAAATCGCACTTCTAAAAAGTATAAAAAAATATTCTCAATAAAAAAAATGACCAAAACTCTTTCAGGATATTTTGGTTATTGTAATTTATTGAAGATATTTTTTTAATATTGGTTTCAAGTGCTCCATTGCAATGATGGTACAACTAAAACTAAAATACTCTGAGGCATTGCAATGATGCTACAACTAAAACTAAAATACCTTGAGGCATCGGTCAGGGGCTCACTTCATCCAAATTGAACGGTTGGATGGGAGGAAATATAATACACTTCTAGTAGAAGAAGTATAAAAACTCACTTAATCCAAATTGAACGGCTGGATGGGAGGAAGTATATAACATACATCTAGTAGAGGAAGTATAAAAGCCTTTTCTAGAATTATGTATTTTTTGTCCCCCTTATTGATACGGAAGAAATAGTATACTATTCCGTTTTTTTATTTGATGGCTTTGGGGTTTTGTTTGGTGTATTTTTTGCCCCCCCTTATTGATACGGTAAACATAGTATACTATTCCATTCTTTCATTTGATGTCTTTGGGCTTTTTTGTTTATGTTTGAATTGTTTCTTTCTACCATAGGAAATTTTGAAAAACAAAATAGCGAAGATTTATATACGGTCTAGAAAACATTTTTGGTATTACAAAATAGACCATATTTTATGCAATGTTACACAGAGATCCTGACTTCTGTGATTTACTTTTATTCTCCAATTTTGCACTCATTGGACCACGTTTTTTTATTTTTTATTTTTTATTTTTGTGGTTTTTTGGGCCATTGGTTTCCCTTGATAGCGTAATCAGATATTGGAAGCATAGGATGACCCATAGTTGATTATAGCAAATAGAC